TCTCATCAAGGTCAACAGACCTTTCCTATTGACCTTTTAAGTTGTCTTTGGTGTTTGTGGATTTAGAAGTCAGGAAACTGCTACAGCTGCTAGTGATTCAGTCCCCTGAAGCCTGCTCCAGGTTTGCTGAGGCCTGGTCTTCTCCTGCGTGCCCATACTGAATTGTGCTCCTCTCCCACTCTGGCACAAACAGACCTTTCCCTTCAACCATCCAGTTTATCTTGAGCTGGAAATTTATTTTACTCTGTCTTTCTGTGGGTTCTGCTGCTCTAGAATTTGTTTAGAGCCATTTTTAGAGGTATTTGGAGGGGTTTGGGGGAGAGCTCAAGCAAGTCACTGCTTTTACTCCACCATCTTGGCTCTGCCCCCTTGTATCAAATATCTTTGATAAGGATCTGATAGCCAAAATATATATAGGCAATTAATAGAAGTGGTCAAAAGATATGAAAAAATCTGATTTTATAAGAACTGAAGACTACTAACAATCATATGAAAGGATGCTCAAAATCATTAACAGAAAAGAAAATCAAGACAATTCTAAGGGTTCTTTTCAGAAAATTGGCAAAGATGATGAAAGGGAAAGGGCTATACAGGGGTTGGGGAAAGATGGGCCCACTGCCAGATGGATTTACATGTGCATTCTATCAAACATTTAAAGAACAATTAATTCCAATACTATATAGACTATTTGGGAAGATAGGTGAAGAAGGAGTCTTACCAAATTCTTTTTATGATACAAATATGGCACTGATACCTAAACCAGGAAGAGTCAAACAGAGAAAGAAAATTATAGACTAATTTCTCTAATGAATATAGGTGCAAGAATTTTAAATAAAATATTAGCAAATAAATTACAGCAACTTATCACAAGAATAATACATTATGACCAGGTAGGATTTATGCCAGGAATGCAGAGCTGGTTCAATATTAGGAAAACTATCAGCATAATTTATCATATCAACACCAAAAATAACAGAAACCACATGATCATCTCAATAGATGTAGAAAAAGCTTTTGACAAAATACAATACCCATTCTTACTAAAAACACTAGAGAGCATAGGAATAAATGGATTCTTCCTTAAAATAATAAATAGGATCTACCTAAAACCTTCAGCAAGTATCATATGGAATGGGTACACACTAGAAGCATTTCCAATAAGATCAGGGGTGAAACAAGGATGTCCATTATCACCACTGTTGTTCAATATTGTACTGGAAATGTTAGCTTTAGCCATAAGAGAAGAAAAAGAAATTGAAAGTATTAGAATAGGCAGAATAGGCATGTTATCTTTGCAGATAACATGATGATATACTTACAGAATACTAGATAATCAAGTAAAAAACTACTTGAAATAATAAACAACTTTAGCAAAGTTGTAGGCTATAAAATAAACCCACATAAATCATTGGCATTTCTATATATTACCAACAAAGCCCAACAGCAAGAGATAGAAAGAGAAATTCCATTTAAACTTAATGTAGACATTATAAAGTATTTAGGAGTCTATCTACCAAAACAAACCCAGGAACTCTATGAACACAATTACAAAACACTATTCACACAAATAAAGTCAGATCTAAATAATTGGAAAAACATTAGTTGCTCATGGGGTAGGCTGAGCTAATATAATAAAAATGACAATTCTACCTAAGCTAATTTACTTATTCAGTGTCATACCAATCAAACTACCAAAAAATTATTTTATAGAGTTAGAAAAAAATAATAACAAGATTCATTTGGAAAAACAAAAGGTCCAGAATATCAAGGGAACTAATGAAAAGAAATACAGGGGAAGGCCTAGCAATTCCAGATCTTAAATTGTATTATAAAGCAGCAATCATCAAAACTGTTTGATACTGGCTAAGAAATAGAGTGGTGGATCAGTGGAATAGGTTAAGTATGCAAGACACAGTAGTCAATGACTATAGTAATCTATTATTTGAATCATCTGAGCAAGAGGTTATGAGGCACTGAAATACAGTGGTAGCTCTGTAAATGAAGACTAGGGTTTGTATGGAAGTAAGAGAGATTGCGAAGGTAGAAACAATGGGAAAGTAGCATAGTTGGATGTGTGTTTTAGGAATATCACTCTGGCAGTTAAATGGAGCGTGGACTTGAGATAGGGAGAACAATTTGGAGGCTATTGCTATTGGCCAGTCAGCAGGCAAAGGGGCCCAAACCAGGTGGTAGCATGTAAGTGTATAGAAGGAGACAGAGAAAGAGATATTGTGGAGATTGAAAAGGGGATTGAAAAGTTTTGACAACCGATTGTATATGAGGAGAGAGAGAAAATGAGGAGTGGAGGATGACTCCAAAGTCATGAACATGGATGACTAGAAAAAATGTTAATGTCATTGATAACATAGGGAAGTTTGGAAGAAGGGTATGTTTTGGGTGAAAATAACATGTTCTGGTTTGGATATGTTGAATTCAATATGCCCCAGGACATACAATTCTAAATGTCCAGTGATGCACATCTGGAGCTCGTACTGCTTGCAGCTCAAGAAGTATTCAGTATTGCAAAACAGTTTGAAGGAAAGCAGCTTAACATGAATGCATTATTGATAGAACTGTGGAATCATTCTGGAAAGCAACTTGGAATTTTGTACCAAAATTACTAAACTGTATATACTTTGATCCAGTGATACAGTCACCTAGGCCTACGTGCTAAAGAGATTAAAAAAAAAAAGAGGAAAAGGTCCTACATATGCACATACATACATACATACATACATATATATATATATATATATATACACACATATATACACACACACACATATATATATGTACATACATACATACATACATACATATATGCATGCACACATATAGGGCAGTAAGGTGGTATAGTGCTAGAGTCAGGAAGACTCCTGTCTGTGAGTTCAAATCTACCCTCAGGAACATCCTAACTATGTGACCCTGGGCAAGTCACTGAACCCTGTTTGCTCCAGTTTCCTCATCTGTAAAATGGGCTGGAGAAGGAAATGGCAAACCATTCCAGTACCTTTGTTAAGAAAGCCCAAAATGGGGTCATGCAGAATTGTACACAAATGAAACAACTAAATAGCAACAATAACACACATACACAAGCATACATATATGTGTATACATATTTATGATAGCCCTTTTTGCCATGATAAAGAGCTAGAAACTAAGGAAATACTCATGAATTGAGGAATGGCTGAAGAAACTATGGCATAAGAACGCAATGCAATACTATTGTGCTAAAGGAAATGAGTAAAGAGACAGTTCCAGAGAAACCTGGGAAGACTTTATGAAGTGATGTAGAATGAAGTGAACAGGAACCAGAAAATTATTTACATAATAACAACTGTGCTACAAAGACAAACACTTCAAAAGGCTTAAGATATATGATCATTACAATAACCATTCACAATTCCAGAGGATTAATGAATGAGCATATTATCAACCTCTTGAGAAAGAGGAGCTTGACTCAAGATGCAGAATAAGACATCATTTTTGGGTGTGACCAATGAAGAAGCTTTAATTATTTAACTATGCATATTTGTTACAAGGGTTTTATTTTTTTTCTTTATTTTCCAATAGGTGGATCTAGGAGGGAGATTTTTATTATTTGAAAATAATAACACAATTTAAAAAAAGGAAAGAAAAACATCTTGTTGGAACCCTAAAGTCATTTGCTTGAGTAGATAAAACATGAAATTGTGATACAATTAAAGTACAAGAAAAAGCTGTTATCCTTCTCATTGGCAGCATTTCACCCACAGAATTTACCTCTGTAGTTATTGAGTTCACTCAGTCAATGATGACACTCTTAATCTCAAACTGAGATACTTATCATCAGTGTGGCTCTATCTACTTCTATATACTCCAGTTTCCTCAACTGTAAAATGAGGATAATAGTGGTACCTATTGTGAGTTACTATGAGGACAGGGTTGCTTTGAGGATAAAATGAAACAATATTTGCTTCTCACAATGCCTGGCACATAGTAGGCACTTCACAAATGCTTGTTTCTTTTCTTCCTTCTTTTATCTATGGTCCTTTCTGCCAAGAGGTAGGAAGTATATTCTACCCTCTTTACAAAGAACAGGTGGGGAAATAAAAGTAAGCAGATCAAATATGTTCAGTCTAGAACTGAAGTGGTGTGATGCCAGTCCTTTGCCCTTTTTGTCCTCACTCAGGCTAGACCCATCACGAGTTGTCATACTTTCCTCCTTTCCTTTTTAATCCCCTGATTTATGGACCCTAGGGGGTAGGTGGTGATCGTGAGAGCATTTATATAACAGCTTTAAGGTTTTGCAAAGCCTTTATAAATATGACCTCATTTTTATTTTCACAGCAACTCTGAAAGGTAGGTGCTATTATTATTCCCATTTTACTGTTGAAGAAACTGAGACAGAGATTAATTGATTTGTCTTAGACACCAAGGAGGTGTCTGAGATTGGATTTGAAATCAGGTTTTCCTAACTCCAGCCTCACTTCTCTATCCACTGCCCAAACTAGCCACCTCCATCACCTATCACTGTGTCTTGCACAGAGAGAATAGGAGGTTAATGCATGTTTGTTGGATTTTAGTGAATTGAATCATACCTTGTTTCCATGTTATTTTGACCCTTCCCTCTTTCTTACTTCATACGTCTAATCGATTTCTACCTACCACCAATTTCAAGCCCACAAATACCTTTCTGCATCTAGTACTCTTCTCATTACCAGAATGTCTGTTGTAGTTCCAGTCTTGGATGCTGTTGAGTCCCTTTTCCACTTTAAAGAGCTAGAATCAAAACACGCTGCCAAGTACAGACCAATTAACAGGGCCCAAGAGAAAGAACTCTCTTGGGGAAAAGGGTGTGATCAATGTCATTAACACAAAATCATGCTGAATCAAGCCAGAATTTGGGGATGGGCTTTGGGGATGGGTGTAGGGCAGTCAATTGTCAATAAACATTTATTAAACAGTGCCAGGCACTGCAAAATGCTGGGGATGAAAAAAAAAGATAAAAGACAGTTCCTGCCCTCAAGGAGCTCACTCTGTAATGGGGTAGACAACACATAAAAAGAAACCAAAAAGGGGTGGTGGTGGTGGAGAAAAAGAGTAAAGACCTGCAAATGAATGAGAACTGCTAAGGACTCTTGAAATAGAGAACCTGGGAGGAGCTCTCCAAAGTCCACCATCCACTCTTTCCATTCAGAGGGAGAGAAGGGCCCTTGGGTCAAGGGACACTGGGGAGGTGTGTTTCAGAGCTGGTGCAATCTTTACAAGAAGATGAATTATTAGAGACATTGGTGAAGTCTGGAGATCAGCCAGGTGGGAAAAGATGAAATTTATATACTTGGCCTTCTCCTCAAATTCAAGATCTAGGAGGAACTCTCCAATGGGTATGGGGGTGAGGGATGGTTGTAACCAATAGAAAAGGGAAGCAGGAGGCAGAAAAAGGAATTTGCCATAATGGTCTACACAGGAGGGACAGAAAGAAAAAAAAAAGAAAAAAGAATTTGTGGCAAAGACGGGCACATTTAGTGAAGAATTCATTGTAAGTCTTAGAATTAATAGTCTTTCCATAAGATAACCTTGATTTCTGAGGATGTGTCATAGGAGGAATGATATGGCAATACTTAGCAGGGGGAGGATGTGGCTTTCTCATCAATGGTAAAGTAGTCCTCAGAAGGTGATTGCTTGTCTCATGCAGATTTTCTGGCCAAAGCAGAATTCTTTTTATGACACTGTCAGACTAGCCACATCCTTTCTTTGCCTCATTAAAGTAGCACTGATGTGGGAAGGACAGCTAGCTCTTACGTCCAATGCACAAATGGTCCTTGGGTTGCAACAGTGGCTAGCTTTCTCTCGCTATGCCATTTTGATTGCAGACAGGGTGTGTTTCAAGCTATCGTGGGAAAATTCTCATTTGACCAGGTAGTCATTAACCACAGAGACTAAGGTACATGGGGTGAGTGCAGTGAAGAACCACAGAAGAAGATCATAGTTGGTGTAAAAGGTATGTTTTGAAGGGGTGAGTGCTATAGGGAAGATCTCCAGTGGGCAGAAGGCAGTGAGGATAACCAAATTATCTTAAGAGTGGGAGACTGAGTGTCTGGGATGTTGCATAAGAGTCCAGTTTGTGCCAGTTTACCTCCCGGATTGGGAATAACATAGCTTAAATAGGTGGGTTTTTTATCTGAAGAGCTATGAAAAATGAAGTTCAGAAATGGCAGTTAAGCTAAAGAGCTGAATCAGTGATGATGCTGATGTAACCACCACTACTACTATAAATAATAACTTGCAATTCTATTAGCTCTTAAGACTTACAAAGTGATTTCTCCACCACTCTTTGAGGTAGATGGTACAAGTATTATTATTTCAGTTTTACAAATGAGGAAACTGAGATTTAAAGCTGTCCATGGTCACATGACTAGGAAGTATCAGAGACTGGATTTGAACCCAGGCCTGGAGGCATCAACTTTATATTTTAGCAAGTCACTCTTTGCTTGAAGAAAAATGTATAGTTGCAAGCAACAGGCAGTAGAGATGGACAAGTAGGGCAGAGTCAAATCTGGTCGTCAAAAGAATGCAAATATCTTGAGGACAGGGACTTTTTTTTTTATCCATTTTGTTTTTGCAACCATATGCCATAATGAATTGCATGGTATGTAGTTGTCATTTAATAAATACTTGTTGATCTGAACTGGATTGAGCTGGTTGGAATGACCAAAGCTAAGGACACAGGGCCTACTAAAAGTGTCCTTGTAGCAGTGAGACATTTGAAAACAGTCACTGTGCCATTTTCTTAAGGAAATGAATTTCACTTGGCTGGGAGAGGAGTGTCCCCTGCACTGGAGGCCAGATGGAGAGCAGCCAACAAGATGCATGCCATGACAAAGGGGGAGGCAGCTTCCATGTGGGGCTGAACATCTTTCTTCTAGGCCTAGAAGACCAAGTAAGGGAGGAAAGCTAATGAAATCTGCAGAGACAACCCAGGAGCTTCTTGTTGCATGAGAGAAGGTGAAAGTAAAGCTTATGAGACATCAGGAAATAGCAAAAGTGGAATCATTTTAGGGGAATGCAATTCAATTTTGGAAGTGGAGCAAAATCCAGACCACAGAGGAGGTTTCTTGGCCAACGTAACTCAATGCTGGGGTTCCCAGAGAGATTTACACTGGAAGGGTACAATCAGTCTGTGGGATTGATGGCCACACGTGAAGCATCCCAAGCTGTTTGGTGTTGGCATGGATAAGGACGACCCTGCACATGGGTGGGCATCAGCTAAGAGGAAATAGCCAGCATGAGGTCATCCACCTGCATGTGGAAGGAGAACTATAATCAGTTGTCATCCTGACCATGCCCTACCTAACAGATAAGTCCTCTTTCTTTTCTGAACCAGCTGACTGGCCAACTGGAAGTCATCAGTCTAATTCAGGGGCTCTCTTGCTGTGTTCTTTTCCATTAAGAAGGCTGAAGCCAGCTACCTGCCTCCGGTCCCAAATCTTACAGTGAGAAACACCAAATGTTGCTCTGACGTTGTTTCTCTAATCCTCCCCTCCCCTCTGAACATACACGCACACTGACACGCTTGAGCAGTCACAGACACACACACATACAAACACTCAAGTGTGCACGTACAGGCACAGACACACACACACACACACACACACACACACACTCACACTCACACTCACACGCAGAGCTGGAATAGAACACACTGACCTGCTGAAGTTTCTCTTTGTTTGCTTTTGTCTCCTAGGATTATGGAAGGAAGAAAATAAATAAATATTATTATTATTATTATTATTATTATTATTAATAGCTAGACTTTATATAGCACTTTAAGATTTGCAAATCACTTTATAAATATTATCATATCTTATCTTCACAACTACTCTGGGAGGCAGTCGCTCTTATCTTTATTTTACATTTTATTTATCCTTATTATTAGTCTTATTTTCCTTATGAGGAAACTGAGGCAAGTAGTGATTGAGTGACTTGCCCAGGGTCACAGAGCTAGTAAGCGTCTGTAATAGGAACTAAATTAATGTTAGTTGAATTTAATTGAATTGAAGTGGCAAGGCTAAGAACTCTTTGCTTTTGTATTCCTGGCATCAAGTACCATGCCTTGCGGAATAGTATGTGCTTGATAAATACTTATTAGACTGGTTAAGGAAAATGAAGCTAAGAGAGATTAAGTGGTTTTGTTTTTCATGAGTTTTGTTTATGCTTTTTGTTTTTATAAAGTGGTCATTTTCTGATACACTGTATACTGTTCCCACCTTTTTTGACACTCTGTGTAACATCCTTTGCCACAAAAAAACCCCAAGAAAAAACAATTGATACTGTGATCACATCAATCAATGCATACAACATTCTACATGCACAGTCCCCCACATTTCCAACTCAAGGCAGATGGAGAATTAAAACACTTTTTCAATATCACATAACTAGGAAGTGGTAGAGCCAGGACTAACCACTGGTTACTTTGATTCTAAGTTCTTTCCACTAGGAAAACAAAACAAAACAGCGCATCATAATTGTACCCACCTCCTAGGGTTGTTGTGAGGATTTACACGTTTGGGAATTGCTTTGCAAACCTTAATGTGCTATGTAAATATTAGCTACAGTTGATAGAGTTCCAGGCTTAGAGTCAGAAATGGGTTCAAATCTCGCTTTTGACATTGGCTAAGGGGAGCTAGGTGGTGCCATACTGCACAGAGTGCTGGGCCTGGAGGCAGGAAGATTCATCTTCCTGAGTTCAAATCTGGCCTCAGACACTTACTAGCTGTATGTCCTTGGGCAAGTCATTTAACCCTATTTGCCTCAGTTCCTCATCTATAGAATGAGTTGGAGAAAAAAAACAGCAAACCATTCTGATATTTTTGCCAAGAAAATCCCAAAAGGAGTCATGGAGAATCAGACCTAAGAATAAAGCTGTGTGACCATCAATAAGTCAGCTAATCTCTCAGAGCCTCAGTTTTCTTATTGGTAAAATGTAATTATAAATATCATAATCATATAATGTAATATAATATATAATTATATATGATAATTATATAAGACTTGAACTACATAGGAAATTTTCAGATCACATAAATAAAAGGGTCATCTAGTCCCATTTCTTCATTTTATAGATGAGGAAATGAAGGCCCAGTGAGGTCCAACTTCATATAAGTAGTGAGTGGCAGAGCCAGGATCAAAACTCAGATCCATGACTATAAGTTCAGAGCTCCATGCTTAGCAGCCTTCTCACTGTACCACGCTGCCTCCTGCATAGGTTTGTTGTTAGGGAAAGTATTTGAAAATTGAAAGTGGCATAGAAAAGTGGGGCAGCTAGGTGGCACAGCAGACAAAGCAGTGGGCCTAGAGTCAGGAAGGCTCATCTTCCTGAGTTCAAATCTGGCCTCAGATACTTACTAGCTGTGTTACCCTGGGCAAGTTACTTAACCCTGTTTGCCTCACTTCCTCATTTGTAAAATGAGCTGGAGAAGGAAATGGTAAACCACTCCAGTATCTGTACCAAGAAAACCCCAAATAGGGTCATGAAGAGTTAGACATGACTAAAAAGATTGAACAACAACATAGAAAGGTACGGTATTGTTATTTTTCCACACTGCCTCTCTAATGATAGTTATGGATTCCTTACCAACGCTGGCAGCCATAAAAAGTCAGTGAGGTATGAACCTGGAATCTGAGAAACAATATCAAAAACAAGTGATTCTACTTGAGGTAGGTGCTATTACCACTATTTTACAGATGAGAAAGTTGAGGCTTAAAAAGTATCTTTCCTAGGGTCACACAGCTAGTAAAATGAGGCAGGTTTTGAACTCAAACCTGACTCCAAGTCCAGCACTCTGTCCACTATAGTCACAGTGACTCCTAGGCAATGTATGTGGAGAGGAGCACTAACCCTTTTGCACTCAGGGATCCCTTCAAAATCCAACCAGAAATGACAGGTCTCTGATTCAGCTCACAGAATATTATCTAGAAGCAACTTAGAGATTATCTAGCTCCAACCCTCATTTTTACAGATGAAAAAACTGAGGCCCAGTGACTTAACAGTCCATGGGTAGGTCGCCTGATTCCTAGGCCAGTCCTCATTATATGAAGAAGCCAAACAGAAGTGTAGGGGTGCTGTAGAGGCCAGTAAGCAAGTTACCTGAATCTTTGCCAACATTCATTAGGCTTCTGTTTTTAATTCATGGGGGTAATATTTCCATCATGAGTCCACAGAGGCTCTTTAGGCACACAGTATGGAGGAAGCTTGGAAACTGGAGAGTAAGTTATCTTTTGGATAAGGAAGAGGGAACCTGGATGCAAATTGGGCATTTTTGATAGAAACTTTCCAAGTGCATATTCCAAATAGCCCTTATTGGTACATTGTATTTGGCAAAAACAGTGCTTATTTTGAAAAATAAGATAGCTGTAGCCATAAAAATTGTTTTTAAAAACTCATGTCATGGACTTACACCAACTGTATCCTCTTCTCTTATTTTCATTGCCCATTCTGTTCTATATGAGCCAATCTGTGAATCTATAAATACAGCATTGGTTTAATACGTGTGATGATTTCTTTCCAGGCAGCTATAAATACCCCGCTGCTGCTATCTGTTCTATGACATGATATGATCAAATTAGTTGCTTTATTATCTTTCTAATATCCATGGAGGTAGAGGAATGGTATGGACTTTGGTTGCCTTATGTTATTTCAGCAGCATGAGATATCTAGCAGTGCAGCAACTCACTGCATCCTCAAATTGTCCTTTTCTGATTCATTTCCATTTAGCCTCAGATTCAGAACTGTAATGGCACCATTTGTTTCTTTTCAGGCAAGCACGATTGTAATTAAATTTTATCACGAACTGGTGATGAATACTGTGAAAGAAAGCAATAAAAACCGGCCACATTTAAGTGAAACAAAACAAAACAAAACACAACAACGACAAACACAAACAAATGATTCTGCGGTCTAGAAACACAAATCTGTACCAGGGAGCTCAGTTCTAAAAGAGGAGTAAGAGGGTCAAAGTCAAGGGTCATCTAGGTGAGTGGGAGAATGGAGCCAGGACACAGAACCAGGAATTGAGGAACTGAATGGTGCAAATGAGTGGGATGGCAGAAGTAAAGGATAATCTAAGGCCAGAAATTGGGTTAAACTCATTACTACAGAGGATGAGCAGGGTAGTAAGATGGAGGTGAGTTTTGTATGGTGATAGGGATTCTGGGAGAACAGACTTTCCTTGATAAGGGGTAGATCGGTAAGAATCTTAAATGACCAGTTGCCCAGGCATTGGCCAGGCACAACCATATCATAAATCCCATAAATTCTATAGGATCCATTCTGTTCTTCTAGGAACCTCACACAATAGGCAGCTTCTGGTTTTGGTTTTACATTATATGATAATACATCAGTCATATAAAACTATAACTATTGGTAATTTTTAAAAGTCCTACTATAATAATTACAAAATATTTAAATCATTTGAGTCATTCAACCTTGAGCAGGGTGGGGCAGTTGGGGGTTATGGGGGAGCTGACTCTGGATTCTGAGGACTTGGGTTTAACAGCCTCCTTGAACTTCATTTTCCTCACTAATAAAATGAGAGGATCGGTTTAGACCGGGACTTCTTCAACTTTTGCCATCCTGACCCCCTTTAGGCAGCATTTGTTGGCATTGCATGGCCTGATGGCATGGCACGTGCAGTGCAAAGTGCACATGCTTTGTGAAACGAACCAAGGCTACAGTGAAGCTGCCCATGCAATATGGACAAGCACTTCCAGAAACACCTTGGATTCATTGTGCATTTGACTTTTAATTAATTTTTCAGAAATATTCAGAAACCTTTTACTATTGCCAAATTTTTTTGCAACTACAGGTGGGGCTGTGACTCACAGTTTAAAAAGCACTGGATGGCCTCTGAGGACCCTTCTAGCTCTAAAGGCCCAATCCTATCAGATTCTCTTGAGAAAAAAGGCAATCTTTTGCCAGATGCTAGAAAAGCTCTATAGAACTGGAACATAGTCTGGAACATAGAGTGTGTAAGTGGGGGTCATGTGAAATAAGTCTGCAAAGACGCAAAGCCAAACTCTGAAAAGATTTTAAATGCCAAAGAGAGAAGATTGTATTTACACTAGAGGTAACATGGGGTTGGACAGCTAGGTGTGCAGTGAATGGAGCACTGGTCTTGGAGTCAGGAAGATCTGAATTTGAATCTGGCCTCAGATACTTACTAGTTGTAGGACCCTGGGCAAGTCACTTACCCCCTGTGTGTTGACTCACTAGTTCTCTGAACTCTCTGCGACCTATGTTACTTATTCTAAATAATAGTCACAGTCCCTTTGACTGTAAATAGGTTTTTATGAAGGTCTCATTTCTCTACCACCTCAGAGGCTTTTCTCCGAAGAAGATGAACCTTCTTAATTGTTCTGCTAACATCTGACATGCTGTTCTGCATTAGCAGAGGAAAATTTCCCACCAGAAGTTCCCTATACCAAAGAAATCACAGGTCTCTTATTAAAGAAAAGAAAGAAATAGCAGCAGTAGTTAACATGTCAGTAGGCTTATTATGTTGGTTTGTGATTCTTGTATAATTTATATCCTAATTCCTGTAAGTGAATGGGAGGGGGCTTACTTAGTCACTCATTTTTCCAGACGGCACACAGACTGAAGCATACATATCACTGAATTTAGATGAGGAATTAACACTCTTCAGCTGAGACTACAGAAGGTCTACAGCTGAGTCAATATCTGTAACAGAGAGCCAAGAAATTCACAAGAGAGTGTGGGGGAAGAAAGTGCCCACTGGAGGCATGTGACCCCAGAGACTGCTTAATTTAGCTTATAGATTTTGTGTGGATGCTAACTTTTCTCTGAACCCTCTCAGCCTGTACAGCATCTGTGTTCCCACACTCTATTTAGAGCCAATGAATGCAGACGTGCAAAAGCCACCAAATGGAGCTGGGCCATCACCTCGGCCTGTTTCCTCTCCATGAGCTCTTTGGGCTCAGGCACCAGGAGATCAGACAATGGGGAGATGCAGCCCTGTGCATCTATGTGTCTTTCAAGACCATATGATAAAAAACAAAAGCTCATGATCAAATGACCTTTTTTTCCCCCTCCTGTTAATAGGAACTGTTCTCAAGGAGTTTATATTCTAGTGGAAGAAAACAACATGCATATAGATAAGTAAATATGAATGCATTTGCTTTGCATATTACAATGTAAATGCAACCTTAGAGCACTAGCCAGGGATTCAGCAATGATAACCTATAGGAAGTGGCATTTAAGCTGCACTTAAATTCTAAGAGGCAGAAATGAGATGGGATTGCACTTCCAGTGCGGGGACAACCTGTGCAAAGCCAGAGGCCAGATATGAAGTGCAATAAATAGGAAACAGTAAATAGGGCAATTAGGCTGGAATATAGAACATATGACTGGGGGCCTTGTGAAATAAGTCTGAACAGATGCAAAGCCAAACGATGAGAGGATTTTAAATAACAAAGGGAGAAGACTGTATTTGTCCTAGAAATAACACAGGCTGGGTGGCTAGGTGGCACACTAGGCAGAGCCCTGGGCCTGGAGTCAGGAAGATCTGAGTTCAAGTGGGACCTCAGATACTTCCCGGGCAAGTCACTTAACTATTTGCCTCAGTTCTTCATCTGTAAAATGAGGAGACACTGAAGAAAGCAATGGCAAACCACTCCAATATCTTTGCCAAGAAAACGCCACGGATTGTCCATGGGGTCACATAGAGTCCCACACGACCGAACAACAATATGGGACCACTGAAGCTTTGTGAGGAGGAGAATGACATGCAGTCACTGGCCTAGAGGGTGGACTGAAAAAGTAGGAGGTAACAGGGAGACCATTTAGGAGACCACTGAAATTTCCTGGCAAGAGGCGATGACATAAGATGATCATTGTGTGAGTAGAAAGTAGAGGAGTAGAAAGAAGATGTATTATAGAGATAAAAATGACAAAATTTGGCATCTGGTTAGATACGCGGGGCAAGTGACAGCAAGGTTACCAACCCAGGTGCCTAGGAAAAGTGGTGGCATCCTTGACAGAAACGGGAAGATTCAGAAGAGCATCAGGACATATAGTGAACTTAGCTTTGATCATGGTGAGTCCAGAGCAGAGATGAGGAGAAAGCCACGATTTAGAAGCTTCTTCCTTTCAGTGATCATTCTTCACGCTGGGTGGTGAGCTCAGCTGTCCCTGCACTGCTGGAGTCCTGAAAGGCTCTTACTGATTCCATACCTGCTGGTGCCCTGGGGAAACATCTCCTCATCCTTCTGTGGCTCTGCCCAGAGACCCAGGGCAGCTTGTCAGCCAACTGCTCCATGGCTAACTCCTGCAGTAAGAGGAGTTAGAGGAATAAGAGGAGAAATCTAAGCAAGACCAGGGCATTTACAATGGCAAGTGGCTCTCTATGTCTTCCTACATACACAAAGACACATACACACGTGTGCACACACATGCATATATAATATGTGTACATAGATACGTACCATCATACCTGCCACACCTACATGTAACTGGCTCTCTGTGTCCATGTATGTATGTATATGCATACACATGACATATATGTCACATCCATATGCATATGTGATAAAAATACATGCAATATACAAATTGTTATGTGCACACAAATATATATGCAAATACCTATACGTATAGTCATATGCATGTGTCACATGATGTCACATCTATGTGTAAAGGACAAGATATATACCATTTTTCTTATATACATGTAATATATACACATACACATAATCATACACATGTCACATATGCCAATCTGTATCATAAAATGAATGCTATATATAACTTAATATAAACAAACATATATCTCCATACATACAGTCACATATACACACATATAATCACATATGTCTATATGAGAAAATAAATACAATGCATACAACGTACAATTTGTCATACTCATATACATATATATACACATCATACACATGAATGTGAGTTTGTATACACTGTGCACATGGCAAATTATATATTGTATGCACAACATGTTTTGCCGTATATGTTTTACATATATGTGACATGTGTAAATGTATGTGTGTAAATAGATGTTTGTATATATCGCATGCATTGTATTTATTTTGTTATATACACAAGCTGTATGTATATGATTATATGCACATGTATATATGTGTGTTTGTGTATATACATAAAACACTACATATAGCACAAAATGTGCGTGCTGTTGTTGTTGTTCAGTTGTTTCAGTCGTGTCTGACTCAAGGTGACTCCCATTTGGGGTTTTCTTGGCAAAGATATTGGAGTGATTTGCCATTTCCTTCTCCAACTCATTTTTATAGATGAGGAAACTGAGGCAAAACAGAGTTAAGTGACTTGCCCTAGGTCACACAGCTAGTAAGTGTCTGAGACCAGATTTGAACTCAGGTCTTCCTAACTCTAGACCTGGTGCTCTATCCCCTGTGCCACCTAGCTTTCTCTCAAAATGTATATGTGTATACGTACGCATGTACACATATATGTATACACATGTCTGTATATATGAATGTGTATCTATGTACATACGTATGTACACACACACACACACACACACACACACACACACACACACATGCATATGGGGGAGGCAGCTACGTGATGCAGTAAATAGAGCAACCAGGCCTGGAGTCAGGAATACTCATCTTCCTGAGTTCAAATCGAGATCCAGCCTCAGACACTTCCTAGCTGTGTGACCCTGGGCAAGTCACTTCACTCTGTTTTGCCTCAGTTTCCTCATCTATAAAAGAGCTGGAGAAGGAAATGGCAAATCACTCCAATATCTTTGCTAAGAAACCCCAAATATGGTCATGAAGAGTCAGATACGAATGAAAAATGACTTAAGAAAAACTAATACATATGTACATGTGTGTATATATCTCTATCACTATTGATCTATAGATAGATAGATAGATAGATAGATAAATTGATATGTATAAAACAAAAGGCTGACTCCAGCCAATACTATGAAGTTTTCCTCAATGCCCTCTCTACGCTCCTCATGCTGCCTACTCCTCTGGGAGAGCTGTGCCCACAGGTTGCTCCCTGCCTCCCCAAATGCTTCAGTGTGTTTGGATGTTCCTGACTTTTCTCTCTTTCACTAACTCCTCCGAATCTCCTTTTCAAAACGTGACTGTTCTGTGCCCCATTGTTTCAGAACCTCATTCTGTAGGAATGGGGCTAGGACACGGAGCTGGGAACTGACTGATTTCATTGGTCTAGGGAGCTAGCTCCCAGGTGAGTTAATTCCTGCTCCCAATTCAAGTCTGGGACTTCTTGGTAACGTCTGGTTTGAGACTTTGCTGCCTAGAACAGGGGTGTCAAATCCAAATAGAAGAGGGAGACACTAAACTAGCATCCCTGAAGCCCTCATATTGTCTTAGAAAACCACCTTTTGTCAGTATGCTCTATTGCATTTTTATTTGTTTTGTTCAATGTTTCCCAATTACATTTTAATCTGGTTCTGCTTCAGTGTGTTTAACACTCCAGGCCTAGAGCCCTGAGAGATTACATGACCCTCCCAGGGTCCCATGTGTCAGAGGCTGGACCTGAACCCAGGTTATTCTTGCTTCAAGGGCAGCTCTCCATTCCTTATACCATGTTTGTTTTAAGCTATTTTAGCTAAGCGACTAACATCTGATAACAGCTTAATGTGCTACTTCTCTTAAATACGAATGTATGCAGTAGGAGCGACCTCAATGCCTGAAGGATTGGGTCGTGTGTGTGATAGCACCTTGGTGGCAGAGAAGATATTTTGTAGCAGAGAAGATATTTCCTACTCTCCCTCCAGAGAAGAGCAGCCATGAGCATAAAGACTCATTATTTCCCCCATCCCATCTCCTTTTTGGTTTTTAGTAAGGTTCAACTTTCTATGTGTTAGTATCTTGCTTTAGGGTACGAGTTTAGCATTTAAAAAAAAGTCTTTTTTTCAGCAAAAATTCAAATTCAGTTTCCTGGACACTCATTTCTTCTTTCAAAAATCTGTTCTTAATACATGTAAATGTATGATCTTGGGTCAAGAGATTCTAGGCTTTTGCAACACCGTAGTATGAATGTACTATATTACACGGAGGGCTGACGATGGCAATATTTTTAGTGTTTTGATTCTTGTCTTCAAAGGCCCTCTGGGACATTTTTTTCTTTTCCGTAGCCCTCTTCCCTTTTGGTACCCCTATCAGTGAAAACAATATGCATATATATGCATATACATTTTGCTCATTTTGCTGAGAAATAGGTATAACTATATATAGAAAGTACTAAATTAGATGATAAACCGAGATGAGTCAGGAAATCCTGAGCTCAAGTTCCTGGAAAAGTGATTTAATCTGTCAGTGCTTCAAGCAACTGTTTTATATTCTAAATTACAGAGAAAGTCTGGTTAGTCTTCCTGGGCAGAGGAAGTTCCTCTCCAGGGATTCTCTAAACCAAGAAAAAAATTGAGTTGGGACTCTGTCATATGTGTGCTTGTGTATATGCACATACATTTATAGCTAACATTTATATATCAATTACTATGTGATAGGCTAAGCACTTTACAATTATTCTCATTTGACCAATACAGCAGCCCTGTGAGATAGGTACTATTATTATTCATATTTTACAGATGAGGAAACTGAGGTAAACAGGGGTTAAGTGACTTGCCCAGGGTCACACAGCTAGTCAGTATATGAGATCATATTTGACTTCAGGTCTTCCTGACTAGGAGCCCCCGGCACTCTTTCCACTGTGCCCTTGATCTCCCACTGTATCCCATCCCAATCTCTCCTTACTTCCAACTGGATCAGTGGTTTCAAACTCAAATAGAAACAGATCCCTGGGGGCAGCATTGGCCTATTGACTTAGACAACCACAAATTAACGTTATTTATATTGAATAGTAGTCTTATTTATTTTGCTAACCCTTTTCCATTTATATATTAATCTGGTTTGGACCATATTTGAGAGTTTTAGTGGTCAGCAAGCAGGGAGTTTGAAACTTTTAAATTTTATCCACTTCCATCACTTTCCATTCCACCTCCTTCAGCTTCAATCTTTCCTTATGCCTTCCTCAATTCCTCTTAATTTTAGACACATACACATGTGTATATACACACATACATAAGCATATTGCATATATAGTCACATATTGTTATATGTGTATACATGTATGTGTTTAATACATATGTGTACATACATACACACACATATATATGTATATATGGTATAAGTCAGTTCTATTATAACAGGACATATGTTCCCCAAAGCACTGTGCTATGAAAAATCATGCAATAAAAACCAGAGGGCTCATGGGGAAAATTGTGTTTTAATATAATTGGAGAAAGTTTCCGTGAGATTTTAAACTAGCTTTTTAAGGTGTTTTTCAAAGGAGTCATATAACTTGATGTCATCCATATATGCCCAGTTATTAATACCATGTTCTGGTTCAACTCTCCCTTTGACTTGAAAGTCATATTCATTTCTACTCAAAAGCGATGACAATGAACTTGGGGCTCGTCAGAACCATCAAACCCTTTCCCTTAGTAATGCCACATTTTGAATCAATTATTCTTGACATTTTTATGCTGGTGGCATGCTTTAAATAAAACACAATTTTCTACATGGACATCAAACACTTCAAACATTCTCATTATGTTTAGATCCATTTTCTATGTCTGTAGTATATGACATTATTATTTAATGGCAGAGATCTGCATGATTTGTTAATATCTCAAAGCAAATTTAATAACGTGTTATGAGGCAGTGTCACATAGGGGATAGAAATCTTGGCTAAGAGTTAGGAAGACTTGGGCTTAAATCCCTCCTCTGACACATACTGGCATTTTGACCCCAGGTAAGTCACTTAACTTCTCAGTGGTCCAGGGCAACTCCCAAAGATTTTGAGTTGCATCAAAGGTACAACCTGCTTTGGGAGCAGTAGTTTACTCACCTGGGAGTTCCAATAAAATCACAGGTGTAGTCCCTAACCCCGCATAAGTCTTAAAGTACGCATCCTATATTTGTCTCAAAGGGGTTTCAAGGCAGTTCACAAATATTCATGGTATCCTGTTGTTTAGTCATTTTTCAGTCTTGTCTGACTCTTCCTGATCCTATTTTGGATTTTTTGGCAACGGTTTGCCATTTCCTTCTCCAGCTCATTTTAGAGATGAGGAAACTGAGGCAAACAAGGTTAAGTGACTTGCCCAGGGTCACATAGCTAGTAAATGTGAGAGGATAGATTTGAACTCAGGCAGATGAGTCTTCCCAACTCCAGACCTGGTGCTCTGTGCGCAATGGCGCCACCTAGCCGCCCGTATTATCCTAGGCTGCTCCATTAGGCAGTGAACCTGTAATACTCCTTGATTACTCTCGAGCATGTGGTGAAGACCTAGGAGGTTCGTCTGCTTTGGGAACCATCTGTCTGCTCTTTTCTCACTTTGTGACAAGGCTAGGCTGGGACGGCTTGTGTCAGTGTTTCCATTATAAGCTGCTATTGTTATTAAGTCATTTCGGCTTTGGTCATGAAGTCTCCCTGGCAGATTTAGCCCAGGAGCCCAGCCAATGTGGGATGACAATCATGACCAGCTTGGATGGCTTTTGGACCTTAGAAATATAAAATGAATAAAAATAAAGAGACTTACTTTTATTAGAAAATACTTAGAAACTACAGTACGCAAGGCCAGAGTCATAGAAATAAGTGAGTGGAAAAAAAAGTTTGCTTTGTCACGGATTGACTCACTGCTTAGATGGAAAAAGAACTGGATGAAAAGTCTAGAGACTTAGAGTTGAGCTCCATTTCTATTACGGAGTTGTTTTACCTTGGGTAAGTCACTTAAGGGCCCTCAGTTTCATTTTAACTTCATCTATGAAAATAAGCAGATTGGACTGAACAAACTTTGATGTTCTGAAATTCTATTAAAAAGGAATAAAATGTTGTTGTTCAGTCATGTCCAACTCTTCATGACCCCATTTGGGGTTTTCATGGCAAAGATACTAGATTGGTTTGTCATTTCCTTCTCATTTTACAGATGAGGAAACTGAGGCAAATAGGGATGAGTGATTTGCTCAGAGTCACACAACTAATAACTGTATGAGGCCACATTTGAACTCAGGAACATGAGGTCTTCCTGACTCTAGGCCTTGTACTTTATCCATTGCACCACTAGGGAACTTTACTTATATAAGGAAATTCTTAGAAACTATCAAATTAAAAAGAAGAGTATCACAGAACCAACTGAGTGAAAAAGCTTTCTTTGTCATTCATTGACAATGCACAGAACACTGGATTAGAAAACAAGATTCTAGTCACAGTTTTGCCACTCAGTTGTGGTATCATCTTAAAATAAGTCACTACCCTAAGCATAGTGAAGAAAACAATATAGACATTAGCAACAGAAGCGTAGACGAGAAGAACACTTACACAGTAATTGAAAATTAATGTTGCAAAATTACAAAGAATAAACAATCCCAAAGAAGATATATGAGAAGACACCCACCTCACTCCTTTGCAGAGATAGTGCAGTCCACGGGTATGGAATGTTGCGTGTAAGGTCATTTAAAAATACATATTATTGTTGTTGTTGTTGTTGTTTTTCCTCTTCCTTTTTTCCCTTCATCTTTTTACTTTAATTTTTTGTTTTGTTTTGTTTTAAGAGATGGTTCTCTGGAAGGAGAGGGCAAGAGGGACATAGAGGAAAATTCAGGTGATGTAAAAACAAAAGATATCAGTGACTTTTTTTCAAAGTCACTTCCAGAACTTGGCCTTTGTTTGTGATCTTTAAAATAAGTCATTCTATCTTGAGCCAAATTATCTCAAACATTCTCTGGTTCCATGACTCAACTAGTCAACAAGGGCTTATGTCTTCCTAAGGGTGTATATAGTCAGAGATTTGCAGGACAATGTTGAATTAAGAGAGATTTTAGGTTTTGTATTTGCTTGTTAATTATGGGAGCAAAATGTCTATTAATGTAATCCCCTCCCTTCTTAAGTGTTTCACTTCAGACCACAGAGGCTTATCCGTTATAATGGGTCTGGTCTTGAATGGATAAAAATAACCCCAGCTGTTTCATTTAGAAACAGATTTCTGCGTGAGCAAATTTGTTTTTCCCCCCCACTGCTGCAAATGTAATGGCATTCCTTTGTCTGTGGGTGGATTCATTTCCCTGGCTTGGCCTGCATTGTGGAGTACAGATTTTTCCTTTTTTCCTTTATAAGGCTGGGATGCATCTTTCTGGGCTGTTTGCAAGCTTGACTGTCTGCCTCTTTCTTCCTACCCACTCAACCTTCCCTTCTTTCTCCTCAAACTTCTTATAGCTTTTCTAACTAAACAAAGCTACTTAATGTCTTTCTTCCCTGCTGTGTTTCCTCTGTCCCTTGAAAAAGAGAAAAGTCTGCTTTCAGTGAAAGGTAAGAAATTCCCTAGTCTTTTCAATCATCTCTATCTGGTACACAGAACACTTCTTTGATGAAGCTATATGGAACCCTTCCTTGGGGATGAGCATTGTGCATAACTCAAGAACACATTTTACCTAGGTCTCACTGTTTTTCTTCAGCTGGTTAAGATGTATTACCTTTGCTCCATAACTAAGAGTGTATTAGACTGAGCATCAGAAGACCTAGGTCCTATTCTCAATACCTATTATTCACGTGACCTTGAACAAATCTTTAATTTTCATAAGCCTCAATTTCTTCATCTTAAAATAGGAGAACAATATCTACCTTTCTTACCTCATGGGATTATTGTCATGCTCACATGAGATCATGCATGTGAAAGTGCCTTCTACAAGCTATAAATGGCAGTTTAAAAAATGGGAAAAGGATTGTCTTAGGATTCTTTTGGCACTTTTATCTGATTTACTACTCTCAGTCTCCCTTTCAGGTCTTAGCAGTGTATGACGATAGTCAATAGAGTCCTAGAACTAGAAGGAGCCATTTTGTCTAGCTTCATTTTATCCATGAGAAAACTGAGGTCCACATAGGTGAAAAAATTTCTTTGAGCCCTACAAATTACTGGCAAAATCAAGGCTAGTACCCATATCTATTGATACCTGCTGCTGTTTCTGCTCAAGCTTTGGGTTAATTTTCTTAGAGAATACTTGTTCACCTGGTACTCTTTGGAAACAGACTTCTCTTGTATATAAAATCAGTCACACCTTTTTAATGAGTACCCACAGGGGCCATAGCATTGTAGAGAGAGCTGAGATACATATGAAAGAACAGGAAGGATCCTGGCCCCTGAGAGGCTCATTTTTTAAACAGGGGACACAAGACAGTGAGATATGTGAATCAGCAGAATCAAACATTAAAAGTTTATCAAGAACAGGTCAGAAGAAATAGAAATCTTACAGGACAATATGATGTCAAAACCGGAAAAGGGCTTGAAGATCATCTATCTAGTCTCAGTTCATTTTATAGAGGAGAAAAGTCATCCACTAAGTGATTTTCTTAAAGCACAGGTCTGTTCATGTCACAATTTCACCCTTTCCCCTTTCCTAATTTAACTCCTGTAGCTCCATATTCCTTTCAGGATCAAATATAAGTTCTTCTAATGGACATTTAAGGGCAGTTAGACGGTGGATAGAGTGCCAGGCCTGGAGTCAGGAAGACTCATCTTCCTGACTTCAAATCTGGCCTCAGACACTGGCTATGTGACCTTGGGGAATTCACTTACTCCTTTTTACTTCTGTTTCCTCATCTGTAAAATCAGCTGGAAAAGGAAATAGCAAACCACTCCTGGATCTGTGCTGAGAAAACCCCAAATAAGCATCACAAAGAGTCGGAGGTGATGGAAATGACTGAACAATGCCAATAATTGACATTTAAAGTTCTCCGCAACTGCCCCCTTCCTACATTGTCCAGTGTGTGCACTCATTTCTCCCCTCTCCAGTCATATTGGTCCACTCGCCATTCTTCACACATGATGCTCCGCCTCTGGTCTCTGTTTCTTTTGCCCTGGCTGTCTCTCCTACCTGAAATCTTACTCTTCCTCACAGCCACCTTTTAGAATTATTGGCTTCCAACAAAACTTAGCTAAAGCATCATCTATATGAAAACTTTGCTGAGCTGTTCAGCTATTTGTACCCTTCCTCCCAAAACCGCATTGTTCTAAGTTGATTTTGTGTATATTCTGTGTACTGTTACATATTTGTTTGTATGTATGCATGTGTATACCTCATGCGTATGTTCTACCTCTGTATATTGTTACATATGTGTATACTTCATTCTTGGAACCTAAGCTCCTTGAGGTAATTGTTTCACATTTGTCTTTGTATCTCCAATGCTTGGCATACCACCTGACACAAAGTAGGTACTTCATCAATGTTTGTGTATTGATTAAAGAGGTTAAGTGTCTTTTTTTTCCTTTCCTTTTTTTCTTTTTGGCTAGGCAATGGGGTTAAGTGACTTGCCCAGGGTCACACAGCTATTAAGTCAAGTGTCTGAGGCCAGATTTGAGCTCAGGTCCTCCTGACTCCAGGGCAGGTGCTCTATCCACTGTACTACCTAGCTGCTCAGAGATTAAGTGTCTTAGAGGCCTCACAACTAGTCAAGATCAGGGCTAGCATTAGAACCCAGGTCTTCTACCTCTTAGTCCATGACTCTATTAGTGGAATGGTGATAATGTCTGGTGGAATCATCTTTCCAGCACACTACTTTATTGCTTCATAGATGTAAAGGTGCTGGTCTAGACCATGTCACCTTCCTGTTCATCTTGTTTAGTTGTTTTCAGTCATGCCTGATTCTTTGTGACCCTATTTGGGATTTTCTTGGCAAAGATACTGGACTGGTTTGCCATTTCCTTCTCCAATTCATTTTTATAGATGAGGAAATTGAGGCAAACAGAGTTAAGTGACTTGGCCAGGGTAACATAACTAGTAAGTATCTTGAGGTCATATTTGAACCTAAGTCTTCCTGACACCAGGCCTGGCCTTATATCCACTGAGCAATCTAGTTGCCTTTTCTGTTCATCAGTCAACAGAATATTTCATTATAGTGTTGGTACATTAGAGCTTTATCTAAGAAAACTTCTCAGAAGAAAGGAGAGAGGACTCAAAATAGAGTAGTACCTTGAGAACTTTGTCACACGTGTGGATTGGATCACCTACAAAGAATCACTTGGTCTCTCCCAGCCTCAGTTTCCTCATCTGTAAGTTAGACATAATAATAACACCTACCTCCCAAAGCTGTTGTGAAGATAAAATGAGAAAATAATTATAAAGAGCTTAATGCTAGGCATCATTGTTATTATTATAATTAATCACAATAATTAATTCTGGCCCTGTTCATACTATGTCAGCTGTGAGGACTGATGAAGGTAAAGAGACACGCATCTGATCCTTCATGGGCCCTTGGCTTTCTTTGCCAAACAAGAAAATGCCCTAAAACTCCAGATGTTAGGAGACAAGCATTCTATTTCCATCTGTTTCATACTGGCCCAAAATCTTTGTGTCTCAATTTGCCTCTTGTCAAGTAGGGATAATTTTGGAGTGGGCTGGCTCTGCACCTGAGATTTTAGTGATGTAGGTTAAGCTCCACTGATGCACAGTTGCAGTTTTTCCTGCTTTATAGTCTTAGAGAGCTGACTGGGGCGTGGAGAATTTAAGGGCCTTGCTCACAGTCACATAGTAAATATGTTAGAGACAATTGAGACTGAAGTCTTCCTAACTTGAAGGCCTTTCAGCCTTTCAATCATTAGGCCAAACTGATTCTCTAGTGATAATTAGCCCCACTCTATGTAAATCACCAGGCACAGGTGATGAGGAGGATAGAGCACCAGGCCTGCAGTCTGGAAGACCTGAATTCAAATGTGACCTCAAGATGCTTACTAGTTCTGTCACCCTGGCCAAGTCACTTACTCTATTTGCCTCAGTTTCCTTTTCTGTAAAATGAGCTGGAGAAGGAAATGGTAAATCACTCCAGTATCTTTGCCACGACCCCAAATATGGTCACGAAGAGTCAACACGACTGAACAACAGTAATGTAGGTCACTCCTTTACTCAGTATGCCCTCCATTCTTTCATAATTATTCTGTACAGACTTTTCTTGTGTTTCTTAATCTGGCCTTTTGCAGTTGGCAAGACCCTTGATTTGTGCAAGAGTTCTCCTCTAAGGACTTTATGAACTTTGGAATTCTGTGATTCTATACTAACCATTTTCATATTATCATGTGTCCAGGTCAGCATCCTTTAGTATATTTTTAGCATTATTAACCTGTTTTCAGACTCTAAATTAATTCTACATATGTCTCATTTTCCCATGAGATGTGCACTCAAGGACTAGTCTTTAATTTTGGCTCCAAAAAGCAGAACTGGGAACAACAGAGGAAGTTACAGAGAGACAGGTTTAGGTCTCATGCAAGAAAAAAAAAAAACCCTTCCCAGTGTAGCGATGGTTATGCAACCTGCTAGAAGAGGAGGAACGTATAACCTCTACCAGCTGTTCTAGCTACCACACCCCCCAGATCTGTTAAAGGCCAGGCAGAGGTGTGTTAACACCCGCTCCAGCTGGCTTGCTTGTGAGTGCCAGTTGTTAAATTCCCAGTGTAGCATTTTCAGTAAATCTTGCAAACTAGGGCTTGGTTTATTGTTTAGTTGATTGTCTCCACTTAAGAAAATGTTAATAATGCAATTAGATTTAAAAGTGTGTGTTTTTTTTTAAAAGAGTCTTTTTGTTAAACATATAGCAGCATACTCCTGAGACCAAGGTTGCTGGGATCTTAAGTCTTAGTCATAGTGTCACTACAAAGCTAAACCCCATAAAATAATTACAAAATTTTGCTCTAGTGACAATCCTACTTAGTGGGGAAATACCAGGTGCACACAATGTAGAGAAAATTATGACAAGAGTGATAAATATGTATGTGTGTATGCACACATATGTATATAAATTATTTCTGCATAATGAATAATAGAAATTTAATAATAACCCTAAATATATAACATAAAGAATTATTCTAGTACCCAAGTTTTCAATGGATTATAATTAATAC